AACTATCAGCTCATAGTTTATGAAACATTTCATTTGCCATTGATTTAATACTGCTCTATCCTTTCAAGGTGCAATCTTTGTGAGTATTATTTAGTAGGTCATGTGATCTAACGCAAGGCAGTTCAACTCCATGTGAATAAGCTTTTTCTTATTATACTGATAATTTTAAGTGTACACTCTTTTTTCTAAATTTTTACAAATGAAAAAATTACTGAGAGCACCTTTTTAACCTTCATGGTCAACTCTCTTTTTCTCTTTAAAAAGGAATGTAAACTTAAAAAACAATCCAGTACAATTCAAAAAGCAAACATTAGTGGTGACCTACTGTAAAATCATCTTAAGTTTTCCAGAGAAAATGACAGTCATTGCACAATTCTGTCTTTAGATGCACTACACAGCAATAACCTGCAGGGGCAGCAACAATACACAATCCATGAGCAGAGCCAGGAGCAAAGCACAGGCTGTAGAGGTGGGACATCCGGTCCTTGAACTGGCCAGAAACTTGTTGCACCTCCAGATGGCTCAACGTTAGCAGAGATGAAAATGTCCTTCATGGCCAAGAAAAACAACCCATGATGTAAAAATAATAATTCTAATAATAATTAAAAAAAACCCTCAGAGGACTGTGAGAACAATGGTGCCCTCTTTAATAGCGTCCTTAGTCTCTCCTTAATCGATCAAGACTTTCGTGTCGCAGAAGTTGAAAAAGAATAAAAGAGAACTGAACTCTGCTGAATAAGACATACAGGCGCGTACAAGTACAGATTCTGAAAGACGAAAGTACAACTGATAAGGTTTGCCGTTTAATATTCATAGTTTGGAGGAGTTCTCCACAGTTTTGTCCATAGGTATTGTACAGAAAGAGTACGGAATGGCTGCGTGCTAGTCCTCAATGCATATAACATCGCTAGGTTTGCCTGATTTCAAATCAGGTGTGGCCACATCTCGCAGAGCATCACTGGACTTCTTCTCTAGGTGGCTGGTTGGGGTCGGAGGTCCGTTTGAGGACACTAAGAAGAAGAAAACAGAAGCATGATATTTCTATATATTAAATCTATTTAAAGGGGTCATATGATGCTATTTAAATTTTTCCTTTCCCTTTGGAGTGTTACAAGCTCTTAGTGCATAAAGAAGATCTGTAAA